TCAGATTGAGATTGAGGTTGAAGTTAGGCTCCACCCCCCAGTTGGCATTAGGAACTGTGTTGCCGAGGGCATCTTCAAAACCTGCCTCCCCTGGAATGGGGCACTCCAATTCACCGACCTCCTTCTCTCGCTTAGAAACATCTGGAGAGGTTTGCATGATGATGATGACTGTCCAGTATAAACCAGAAAACAGCTGGAATTTTGTTTGTAGAATTTGGAAATTGAAAGTCAGCACCTGATTGGACAGATGGAGAAACAAATGGTTAATAAGATAAAATCACAATTATCAGGTGTTACAATGCAAGAAGAAAGAGGTTGAAGGATGAAGCAAGTATAGGAGTAAGAAATAAAAATTGAAAAACTACCTATAAATCAAAATCAAATATATCTCTATACAGATACAAAAAAGTAAACAATGAGAGGAGAACAAAATGTACAACAAATTGAAATATAAAGCTATGTGTTGTACTGTACATAATTCTACCTGTCAGAATGAATGACACCCAAAATAGTGTAGTTCCTCTTATTTCTGAGAAAGATAACAAAATTTTTGAATGATTTGGTATCAATTTATCATGCTACCAGTAAAAGAAATACTCCTCTGTAATGCCATCCTGTATTGTTATGACTGATATAATGAAATTAAATTTTAATAGGTTTTCCCTGGCTGCTAAATTTCAATTCAGTTATTTGGCATTTCTGTCCTTTCCAACAGCTATTTTCTGTCAAACCGATGAATCCTCTCGGGATCCAGTTTCACTCTTGTTTGCGTTCCCCTGCTGCGCCCGACACGTCCACATTCATCACTAAATTTGTAAACCATCAGTAATGTAAAGTAGGTGTTTCCTTGTCTTAATCAAGGGCGAGAGGATAATATACCCTGTACATATTGTAAAGCAATTGAAAACAAAATCATTACATGAACTACATTAATAAATCTGACATGACCTAATGCACAAATCAATTTATTAAATGTATAAAACTTTGTGTATCATTTTATAAGAATGTCACACTTTTATAAAATCATAATTGTTACAAAGTTGACATTTAACTGCAGTTTCTTCCTGAGATTAATAAAGTACGTGTTTCATTACAGATGAAATAACATTAAGCATGACACACTGCAAGTCCCTGCATTGATATAATAGGATTGATGGGAAAAAAGAGCAGCTTCATTTATGGTAAATACCACAATAAGCATGAAGTCATTGTAATCTCACTACTGGGTATCACAGACAACATCACATGAACATAACATCACTATGTAAATCATTACATTTCATTGATTCCCCCTCTCCCTCGGTCCCTACGTACCTATTCAGAGACCACAGACGCCAGCACTGGTCGACAGAGGCGTGGAAATCCCATCTTGCTGCCTGACGACTGTGTGCCGAGGGGCAGAGGAAAGATTCAGCTGCTCCCTCGTTTGTTCCTCCTTGTTGCTCTACCAGAGGATGCATTTATGAATAAATAAAAGGAGGAGGGAGAGGGAGGAGAGAGGGGGCCTGAGATCAGCGATCATCATGCTTGTTCTCCTGCTCTTCTTCCTCTTATTCTGTTTTTGTCCTCCTTTCTCTTCTCTAGCTGTTCTTCTCCATTAATTTTCTTCTTTGTCTTCCTCTTCCTCCCTTTGCCTCATATTTTTGTTCTGACTACCTCTTTTTTAAATGTTTAGATAGTAGTTCAGTCAACGTACCGCTAGTAGTTCAGATAGCAGAAACAACTTCCTCAATTTTTATTTTGACTAAATATAAATCTTGAAACAACTAGCTCTTCCTCTTCGTGGAAGAACTGTCGTGTAACACGTCAGTCTAAAGTGTTTGCTGAGATAAGTGGACGTCAAGTTTTGCCTTAACTTGAAGTCCATCTCAAACTTGTAAAACTAGGCTGAGAAAAAGCAGTGGATGAGCCTGGTAAGTTCATATGTAAATACTTCTTTATAAAGAGCATTCCCTATCTTAAGTAAAAGTAGAGAAATGTTAACATACTTAAATTATGTATTTTATACTATATTGAATATTAAACAGTGAAGTGACAAGAAATTGGTTGTCAGTTGTAAGTTAATATAACTTAATCCTCAAAAAAAGTTGGAGTCACTCATTTCCACAAATTTGACTTTACTCAAAAACGAGTTTTTGATGTAGTAACTCAGTTGTTTTAAATGTACTTCCATGTTTGTAGCATTTAAAGCAGGTTTATGTAATTCCAGTTTGTTGCATTAATTCATTTCCTCTGAGTTGACTTTTCTATTTCAGGTTATAAAAACATAATGTTGTGTTCAAATAAACGAATCTGAATCTGTCCAAAATAACTTTTATGTTCCTTTAAAATGACATTGCTTAAATTTTGAAAGAGCTACAGTCTTGTCTATAATCACTAAAATTTATTACTCAGGCCCATAGAATGTAAATAAAGATGGACGTAGCCTCCAAGACGTCACCCATAGGTTTCTGAAGAGCAGTTTTGAAGCTCAGTTCCGTCGTCGCCATTTTGCCAGTACCTGACTCCGCCCCTAACTCCCGGCTAATCCAAAATAGATAAAAGGAGGGGTCCGCGCCCTCAACAATGCAGAATTAAAAATTAATTAAAACAATTTAAACAAGTGAGTTATATGAAAATAAAGAAAGAAGGAAATTAGCAGTAGAGCCCAAAACTGTTTTGTTTTTTTGTTCCAGGCTGTAAACATGTTTATTTCTGCTGTAAAGTTGGACATTTTAACCTGCGAGTCTATGGGGATTGACTTGCTTTTGAAGCCTCTAGTGGTCATTCGAAGAAATGCAGTTTTCCGTGTTGGCTATATTTTTCAGCCTCGCAGGATGCTTAAAATTTAATCTTCATGGTAATATTAAAATACTTCTAGCTGCACAAATGTGAATATTTTATAGATTTTTCCTTGTTTTTCATTGTAGTAAATTAAATATCTTTGAGTGTTGGCGGCGAGGTGTCACGCGCTCACTTTGCACACGTCACGCATATAGGGACAGCGGTTGCGTCCAGGTTTGAAATGACGGAGCGAAGAATGGATGAACTTCACAGCAACACAACCTTTTTTTGCCTCAGAGATAATTTGTCCACCGAACCGGAACACAGCGGCAAGGACACGGATTCGTCTTCCACGCGAGGTAACGTTGTTTCTGTTTTTTCATAATTTTGCACACTTTTCAAACCAGGCTCCTCTAGTAGCTCAACCACACTGTGCTAGCACTGAGACATGCTCCTTTGGTTGTCCGGATATTAGCTTGTATTGCAAGCACGTCAAAGTCTTGTTTTATTGCTTCAGAAAAATGTTCATCGTCGGTGCTTTGACAACCATGGCAAACCTCATCCGTCAGGTAAAGTTGGCGTTGGCTAGAGTTTGAATCTTTTATTTTAACCGTTAGCGCGCTAGCGTTAGCTTGACTGGTCATGCCTTCTAATTCAGAGAGAAAGGGAAAAATTAACTGACTTTCTAACTTCGGCTAGCTAGTGTAACTAGTGTTGTATAATCAGGCAGCGGGTTGACTTGCTTTGTTCAATTGAAACAGTGAATGTTGATGAAAGTGTGTTAGCTCTCACCCTCTTATCAATACAGTTAAGTTAAGCTAATGCAAGCTACTTTCAAAGTATTTGTATCCATTACTTTCATCTAATCACTGATCATTTATAATCACTTAATCATAAAAATAATTCCAGCAAATGAATAACAACTGCAGGACTGCTCAGTGGCAAACATGTGAGTACATATTGAGGCCAAACATAAACAATAATCAATATGTCTTATAATACTTAGCTACTCATTTGCTCTGTCTGTTTTCTCCCTTCTCTGTCTCATGTACTTATTATGTAGATTATTATTGCTTGCACTTGAGTCAAATGCGGATTGAAAAATAATTTGGGTGATCTTTTACTCTTGGTTTACACTTTGTGCCTTTTTATGATATTGCACCTACTTGTATGTAAAAAAATTTGCAAGCAATGTTGAAATCCGTGGTAGCCTGTTTTATTAGCTTGGTGATTTGGACAATTAGTTTTTCATACTTAAGTTATATTCACTTCCAGGACAAGTTGGAGATAGCCCAGGAGGGAGCAGTGGCTCCGGTGCCAGTGGTCAGTGAAGAGGAATTCCCTTTGAAACCATGTGTCAATCATCCTTAAGGAACAAGTTGTAATGTCTCTCAGATCTTGGACAGATCCACTGGTGATTTTGTTTGGACTGATCTATGCTTGAAGCTACGTGATTTCTTTGAGTTTCTCCAGATTGTCCTCTTAAAACTTGATGATGGGAGAAACCAACTCAAATCTAAGTTAGAGGCCCTGAAAAATAAGCTGGAGTAAATATGGGAACAGGTTTTGTTGTTGAACGTCAGATTCTGAAAGTGTTACTATATGAAAATTGTCTTTTGGCTTGCATGCTAAAAAGTTGTTGGTCAGCATACCTTATTTTACTGTTGCGCATAATGTGCCTTTTCAGTGCAGATTTCTGTGTTTAGCCAGATACTGTTTGATTAATCAATAGGAAGCTGTTAGTTGCCGTTTGAATTTGTAGTTTGTACTATGCTATTCTTCTTTTATTCAGGATATTTTTTTGAAAAGTTTCCTAAAGTGTTTTAGATAAACATTTATGGAGAATTATTAAGTGTTGTGAACATGAAAATGTTTGAACATTGAAAATGTCAACTAAATGAACTGAAGCTGTTTCAGTCCTGGTTGTTTGTATTGTGTTACTGCAACTTAAAAGGTTTAAGGCAATCTGTTCACTTAAATGAACTTAGTGTGTATTTATATATATATATATATATATATATGTGTGTGTGTGTGTACTTCATTTGTTTGAGTTAATAAACTTAAATGATATAAGGCAATCGGTTTCCTCAAACAGTTTGAGTTCAGCTAACTCACCAGGTTTTACAGTCAAGTAACTCTGTGTTATTTCTTTTTTTTTAGCTTCCGCATGTGCAGTATTAAGAAAAAATATTCTCTGCCCACAAAGGACTGAAGACGTACTGTTGCTAAAAGTCATCATGGAAACTACAGGAAGTTGGTCTCTGCTACTTTTCTCACTTCTGTCTTGCATGCTTCATCTTAATCCCTTACTGGCTTTCTCACTGAAAAGCTGCACTATTGCCTATCCTGAAAATGCAAATAACATGTTGGTTACATGCAATGATCATTACCTCACTGCTATTCCAGATGACATTCCCAAAAATGCCACAAGTTTAAATCTCGCCTCAAATCAAATTGCAAAGATCACGATGACAGATTTAAGAGGTTTATCAAAGGTCCGAGTTGTAGAAGTTCAATATAATTTGATTTCACACATTGACGACGGAGCTTTCACAGACTTGACTGAGTTAAAGGTTCTCATCATGGATGAAAATAAACTCACGCAACTGACAGATGACATGTTTCAGGGACTGTCCAAATTAGTAACACTATCTCTGTATAGCAACCATATCTCTTACATCTCCCCTGTGGCCTTCCAGTCCCTGGTCAACATTGAGACAGTAATACTGGGCGCTAACCAACTACATCAAATCACAGATATCGCTCCACTTTTAAAAATACCAACTTTACATGATTTGATGATGGGGTATAACAAGTTCACCTCTTTTCAATCAGAAGACCTGCCTTTTAACGTCTCAAACCTCAGGTTACTGCATCTAAGTTTGAACCCGCTGAGAAGGTTCAGCATCACAAAAGACGTCTTCCCTTATTTGCAGTCTCTCGACTTGTGCAAGTGTAGCAGCGACATCGAGTGGGATGTGTCGAACAAGACCTTTCTGAGGAGCCTGACCAGTTTGTCCTTTAGCGGAAATTATATTAGCTTTGAGTCGTACAAAGCAATTCTGCAGACCGCTGACTCGTTGCAAAAACTTCACCTGTTTTTCATGAAGGAGTGGGTAGACAAAGGCCTCATAGACATCGCCTGCCAAATTCCTTCTCTGAGAACTCTTCACGTAACGAACAGCAGAATTGGCACTTTAGATGACCATCTGCTGTCGTCTTGTTCTCAGCTCACTGAACTAACTTTATCTTCTAATGAGCTGTCTAAGATGTCTGAGCACTCACTCGGATCGGTAACACAGCTCAGAGTTTTGGAGTTGGACCGTAACCAACTGTCTAAACCGCCACTGGTACTTCAAGGGCTTTCCAAACTGGAAACCCTGAACCTGGAGTCCAACTTCATAAGTGAACTTGATTGTCTCGACTTCAAGAATTTGACAAGGTTAACCATTCTTGATCTCAACAACAATCGCATTTCAACACTTAAAGGATGTGTTTTTCAAAATCTGAATGACTTACAAATCCTAAATATTGGAAAAAATGCCCTTTTTGCCTTTTTCAATACCTTCAAAGTTAATTTGTGGAAACTAGAATCTTTGAATTTGCGCAATAATGGTCATTTAAAGCTCATGCAAGGAGACTTTAGGAATCTGTCTTCCCTCAGTTTTTTGGATTTAGAATCAGACGTATACCATAATGTGTATGACGGGGCTTTCGAGGGACTTGATAATCTCCAAACTCTTACTCTGTCACTTTGTCGTTGTGAGAAAGAGTTTTTCAGAGGACTACCACGCTTAGAAAACCTAACGCTACATCTTACTTATAACTGGAACCAGAGGACTTTTCAAGAAAATGATGAGCCACCTTTTTCATATTTACCAAAATTGAAGAAGCTTGTACTCAAAGTTTATGACTCAAATCATCCTAACATTTCACCAGATCTGCTCAGGGGTCTGAAATCTTTAGAGTACTTAATGACGGACAGGTTCTTCATGAAGGCAATAAACCCAGACACATTTAAATACACTCCCCAACTGAGGAGTCTTCAGATAATCAACTGTGATCTGTCATATTTAGACCCCAAACTGTTCTGGCCAATCCCAAACCTGCAGGCACTCGATCTCTCCAACAATAAACTCAGGTCTTTAGATTTCCTGACTCCAGCCAACCTTCAGGTGCTCAGTTGGTTGAAAATTACTGAGAATGAGCTTTCGATCATCACTGACTTTGTCTTCCAGTCCCTCCCTGCCTTGACATATCTGGACCTGACTGGTAACCCTTTAACATGCGACTGCTCCAATTCTGGCTTTAACCAGTGGGTGCTGAGCAACAACTGGACTCAGGTTGTTAATGGCCACCAGTATACCTGTGCCTTTCCTATTAGAGAACAGGGACAGAAGTTCCTGGACTTTGACGTCCACGCCTGTTGGGTGGACGCTAACTTCCTCTGCTTCATTTCCAGCACTTTTCTGGTCGTGCTTACTCTCCTTGTGTCTTTCATCTACTACTTCCTGAGGTGGCACCTAACTTACGCCTACTACCTCTTCCTGGCCTTCCTGTATGATAAGAGGAGGAGGAAGGAGGGAACTCCTCACCAGTATGATGCATTTGTTTCCTATAATGTTCATGATGAGGCCTGGGTCTACAGAGAGCTGCTTCCAGTGCTGGAGGGACAACAGGGCTGGAGGCTCTGTCTGCACCACAGAGACTTTGAACCAGGTACAAACACTTTATTTGACTTGAAACTGATGTTGTTTTACAGCAGCAACAAGATCTCTGACCACACAGACCCATGTTCACTTCTCTCTTCCTATTTCACAGAATTTACAGTGAGGTTGTTGAGGTCACATCTCCTTTTTGGCTAGTATGAACGTTATAGAGAGACAGTGTGTTTGCTTGTTGAGCGCTTTTTTTTGCAAGCTTGTGGTTTTACCAAGCTTTCAGCCCAAAAACAGCAAACCTTTAAATGCCATTGGCTGCAATTGGTGGAGGTTGTTGCCATTTTACAGCAATTGTGTAACCGCAGAGCAATTTATGCATATGACCCTGCATTTTTTTTTTGCTGGAGGCCCCTGTACTCTCCGTACATCATGTGATGTGAGAGAAGCTGTGTCCAAATCCAGGGGATAGATCCTTTCACGGACAGTAGGTAGGAAGCAAGGTGCATCCTTTAGAGGACCTGAACCTGCAAATGAGATGGTTGTGTCTCAGAAACGCCAAAACTAAAGGTGCATTTAGGTTGTCCTCATTATTTCCTAGTCAAAGAATTTGCTCTATTATCATTCAACCTTGAGCCATGTAGAAAAAGTTACACAAACCTTTTCATTCACAGAGAGAATTGCTTCACTGAAAGGTGCTGTTGTTTCCACAGGTAAGCCCATCGTAGACAACATCACAGACGCCATCTATGGCAGCAGGAAGACCATCTGTGTGATCAGCCGGCACTACCTGCAGAGCGAGTGGTGCTCCAGGGAGATCCAGATGGCCAGGTGGGGGGCGCTGACTTCCTGTCCTTTCATTTCATGCTGTTGTCTCACCAGTTCCCAATCTGATTCAAGCATCTTCCCCGTGTGATCTGTCTGCAGCTTCCGTCTGTTTGACGAGCAGGAGGACGTGTTGATCCTGCTGTTCCTGGAGGACATCCCGGCCCAGCAGCTATCTCCGTACTTCCGCATGAGGAGTCTGGTGAAGAGATGCACCTACCTGAGCTGGCTAAAGGCCGGACAACATACTGGAGCGTTCTGGATGAACATATGGCGAGCTCTAGAAACATCTGAGGAAACACACCTCACTGAACAACCAAGCTTCATTTCAGTCACAGTTCCACCGCAGGAACTTTCCCCAGGAACCTTTTGAGGAACTATGCGCTATTCGACTGCAGGAACCAGGGTATAAATTTAGTTCCGGGGTAATTGATCGACCCCCAAAAAGGTAGCTGGTCGGGGGGTAGTACTTTTCCAAAGGTTCGGGACCTTTTGGGGGGTGTGGTCTGCAGTGCCGAACATTTCTGACTGGTCGAGTACAGCGAGCAAACACTTTTTCCACACAGGGAAACGGGTCCGGGAGAAGGTAACAACCGGAGTGGCTAGAGTTGCAACCTGTCACAAATAATATATATAAATGCTGCATCCTGTATTGAATATATACGGGACGCAATTTCGTTCATGTTATGTCCTCAAAGAGCTGTGAATAATGTTATGTCTTCCCGGGGCTTAAGGCCGCAGTGGAAACGCAGACAACAATGGGCCACAGGAACCTTTTTAGTTTCTGAGGCGCGGCTTGAGATTGGTTTAATTTCAGGTCTTTGAACTTACCTTCAAAACCAGAAATGAGGGAAAAAAATGTCTTTTTTAATCTGTTTCTGTGTGTTTAAATCCTCTTTATCTACACCAACATTACATTGCTGTTGTATGGCTTCATTTTTGATCCACTGTAATTGCAAATAAAATATGTTTGCTTTCATGAACATAGGTGCTGAACTGTAACAGATTGTGGTTTTTCTGATTGACATTTAGTCTCATCTCGTTCACAACAGCACACCGGTGGTTACCTGGATACTATAGCTGTCTGTCACTGCCACCTGAGAGCTGCCTGCATGTGTATGTGTGTGACAAAGAGAGAGATAGTACTTTGACACAGTGACAATCTTTCAACGAATACACAAAAATTTAAATTAAGAAACAATCATGTAGTTTTGAGCGTGCAACCCCGAGGGCGAGTGAGCTTTTTGTCAGCTGTGTGTTTGGCCACTACTTTTAGATACACCTGTGTTTGATAAGTTGGAATGAATATTTATCTCCCTGCTTTTATCCAATGGAATCAAAGACTTTTTGTTTGGGTCATACCCTTATGAAAAAGCCAGAGAATGAGCCTTAGATCACAAGACTTCATTAGACTTCTCCAAAGTTCTGCCACCATCTACCTGAGGCTGTCGGCAGGTAAGTGACGTAACTGAAGCCTCTATAGATCAGACACATTTGATTCTCAACCCTTTCTGTCTGTTTCTATGTCCCACCCACTTTAACTGTCGTAGCCAATTGGATGCTGCAGCAGTGATGCTACCTGACAACAACAGATGACTGGATTGTCTTATTGTGTGTGTGTGTGTGTTTGTTCTTACACCAGCAGTCAGCCACCTTCCTTTGTTATTTGGTCGATGGACGTGGGACACGGTGGACAGGACGAGGAGCATCTCTTTCTGCTGTGCAGTGATTATTGAGGAAAAACCTGCTTAATTACCTCATACAGACACACACACACACATTTATATACAAAACTCATTCACACACACTGAAACACACCAGACTGAAGATAACCAGCCGTCGTTGGGACGTCTTCCTGCTGAGACGCAGCATGTGGGAGGAGAACTTTGATACAGAGCAGTAAGTCACCTCTCTGAAACCAACGAACAACTTTTTTTTAGGCAGATTAGCAACAACAGAATCTCAGTTAGAAATTTTTTATTGGACTTTATTCAAAATTGTGAGGCTTGAACTGAATAACTGCAGGCAGGATTTCTCTTTGACTCAATTTATACTTGGGAAAAGGTTGAAAGAAAAGTTGCTGGATTCAATACGGTGCTGAATTTGAAATGTTACATTCACTTTTAGATAAGTCACTGTTGGCACCATGTCTGCCCACATGAGTTCATTAGGTGTTTCTGTAAAGCTGCTCACATTTACTTTGATTCTCCCTTCTTTTTGACGCTTGTTGTCAGCGATGTTTATTTGACATTTTGGGGATTTAACTTGGAACTTTTCAGTTCTCAAAAGGAAACCAGTAAAAAGTTCCAGTGACTTCTACCAAACATGAGAATTGCAGTTAGCTTAGTGATTTGATTCACAAATTATTTGCACAAATTGCTGCTCCTAAAGCCAATTTATGCTACGACTAAGACCTGAACTCATAGCCACTTAATGTGAAAAACCAATCAATCCTTTAATAAACTAGCGAAGCACATTCAACATCAATACAGACCTACCACAGCCGGGCCGCCAGTCGCTAGCTGAAACAGTTGACAAGCTAGCTAAGCAACATTAGATTTCAGTACGAACCACAAAAAGATGCTAGTTAGCGAGCCAACTGACGACCGAACACGACTGTCAGAATTAGATATTAGACATACTCAGAGATATCAGTATCTTACGTTATTAACTGATTATGTGCTGGGGTATGTTCTTGCTAAGAGTAAACAGTCTGTGTGTTTCTGTGTCTACATGTCGACCAGTGAGGTTGGCCGTAAGCTTGACTACTCGCCGGTGTCGTGGCGGGAGTATTTTGACCAGATGGAGGATGTGAGCGTGGGGCTGGCCGACAGCGGGGACGTCTTCAGGATCTATAAAGCGGGGAGTGATGGACCTCTACTGGTTCTGCTGCATGGAGGAGGACACTCGGCCCTATCCTGGGCCGTCTTCACTGTGAGTATCTGTGGTGGCAGTTGGTTGTTTGATTGATGGTGGCTTCACCCTCCTCAGCAGCGTGTCCTGGTGTTTTTTCTGTGTTGCAGACAGCCATCGCCAGCAGAGTGACCTGCAGGGTACTTGCCATGGATCTCAGGGGTCACGGTGAGGCTCGATACAGATGCAGCGACTGTGTTTCACCTGGATTAGTCTCTGCGGAAAATAGCAATTACGGGACAAATCTTCCAAACAGTTGAAATACTTCAGGGTATTAGAATAACTTCAAGCTCTTGCCAACATCGAAACATGTTTTATAATCTTTCCTGTGCTCATGTTACTGGACTTTACACCACACATTTAACATTAAATGAATTTATCAGTCTGGTTTTAGCGCTTTTGTATTTTCAGCTGCTACAAAGCCTGTGATGTTTTCTCAATCATCTAAAGAAATTTTAGTTGCATTACTGTAAGAGTTTGTTCTCTGTGAAGGTGCTACGCTGGTTCGCCAATCAGATGACTTCTCAACTCAAACTATGTCCAGGTAACAGCACTCACAAACACAAACTACTGAGCTTCTGTTAAATCCCTTAATCTATTGTCTATCTACTGCTTGCACACTCCTAGTGATGCTTCAAATACAGCTATACTCTCTTATTATCCGTTATCGCTGCTCAGCGACGTAGCCAATGTGATTCGAGCCTGCTACGGCGAGACCCCTCCCCCCATCGTCCTGATTGGCCACGGCGTTGGTGGGGCAATCGCGGTGCATACAGCCAGCAACATGTTGGTACCGACCACCGTGGGTCTGGTTGCCATAGACGTCGTAGAAGGTGAGTGCGAGTGGATTAGAGTAGAGAGCAGTAGATGCACGTCTTATTTTTGTTGTCTTTGTGACTGGGACGTTTTGATGTTTATAAATGGACTCAGTCTTCCGGTCCTCCTGCAGGCAGCGCGATGGATGCACTCCACAGCATACAGAACTTCCTGAAGGGAAGACCCAAGTCCTTCAAGTCCATGGACCATGCTATCGAGTGGAGGTGAGAACTTAAGGCCACATTTGCACTTTGTGTCATTTCAAGTGCCTCTAACTAACGAGTCAGTTTTCCTCCTTTGTTCTCCTCTCAGTGTCAAGAGCGGACAAATAAGGAACCTGGAATCTGCCAGAGTCTCGATGGTTGGTCAGATCAAAAGGTAGGCTGGCTCAGATTGGTGAGGTGTCCCGAGATACATTAAACCCATCCTAACTTGTCCGTTAGATGCGAGGCGGAGGAGTCTGACGCTCTGGAGCAGGCCAGCCCAGCGACCGACGTGGTCGTCGAGCGCAACGAAGAGTTCTACGATCAGAGCTACGTCAACGACAAAGAAAACGCTGTGTCAGAGGTGGGCCTCGGCTCAGAAGGCCAGGTATGAAAACGTCTGCACAGAAACACTGATGGTCAAGTAATATTCATTACCACCACATGAGATAATATGTGTTGTGATACTTGTAAGGTCATTTTATTGACTTACATTATTTATGTTACACTAAAAATTCCCATTAACCCGAACCAGACAGCAAACACAGATTAGAAAGGACATGACTGACTCGTATAAACACCTTCATTTTCTAAACACGTGCAGATTGGCACAACCCACCATTGACTTTCATTCATTACCTCAGCTCTGATCTTCTAAATACACATAAGAATAAGAACTTCCATTGACTTTCCCAAAACCACAGCACAGACACACACATTAATAATACTTATTTCAACTTCTGAATCCATTGTCTTGCATTTATTTGACAGTACAACCTGATTTGTAGACCTAACATTGTATCCTACTCACATTTCTGTATCTCAAATGCATGCACACACCTAATTGTCTACTGCTTTTTCATGGATTTTTATGAAGTTTATTAACCGACCGCCCTGTTTATCTTTGTGTTTGCATGCCAGAGTGTATACAAGTGGCGTATAGACCTGTCAAAGTCAGAAAAGTACTGGGACGGCTGGTTTAGAGGAACGTCCAACCTCTTCCTGGCCTGCAACCTGCCCAAACTCCTGTTGTTGGCTGGTAGGTTTTTCAAGACTTCAGTGCTGTCTTTTCAGTTTAAAAGTTATTACATGGCGGAGTAAAGTATTTAAATATCTCTCAGTTTACCTGAAGATGCTTTCCTTTCCAGGAATCGACCGGCTGGACAGAGATCTGACTATCGGCCAGATGCAAGGTGAGGTGCTGACTCAACGCATGCAGTCGCAATCCTTCATTTTTTAGTTTTAGTAATAAGTTGTAAGATAGATAGATAGACACTTTATTTATCCCCCAGGCGAACTTCATTAATGTTGCATGAAAGAAATAAATGGTTGATGTTTGTTTTTGTTTGGGATATTTTACCTAATCTTTGCAGTGCTTCAGAAAGCCACACCATGGAGGAGAATTTGTGACGTTCTTGGACGTTAGTTCCTGGGGCTGTTGGTTGTAAAGAGGTTTAACTGGCGGGGGAACCTGAGAAATTCTTTTAGGATATCAGTCACAAACATTAACTTGTGGAAACAAGTTGGGTTTAGAAGGAAGTAATAAATCACCTGGAGATGATAGAAGTATTTATATCAAAATGTAAAAGAATGATTAACACTAACAGGAGTCAGTGGTAATACCCACATGCTAACAGGCTAATAAGCACCAACATCTACTGTCTGACTCGTTTGTGAACCAATCAGGGAAGCCCTGAAGCTCCTCTGTACAGGAAGTGTTGAGAGCAGCGAGTTCGTACAAGAGCTGGTATGGAGTCAGGTCATAGTTCGGGTTTTTACAGGTTCGTAGTACTGAAAAGTCACAGCAGCAAAATCTAAACCTCGTTACACAGCACTTGGTTTAGCTTTCAGTGATGTTGTAATGCTTCCTTTGAGATGACATTTAGTTCTTAGAAGCCACGGGCGGGAGACGGTGTGAGACGTGTCATACGCTGAGTGCAAGAAATATATTAAGAACAAATCGAACCCGAACAAGAGATGGAAAAATATCTCCTCCAGTATGTTAGTCCTCAACAATGACAATGGAGAAAGAAGCAGGGTTTATGGGAAATGTAGTCTTGGAGAAACAGAATGCGACGTGTAGTGTACGTAGAGAAACACTGTGAAATTGGAAATAGCTGACATTCTTTTCACACTGGGTTTCTACACTCACTGTGAGGGAAAAGGTGAAGGACATCTTCACTGCTGCACAGTCGTCCCCCGGAGACACATACGTTCACACTCAGATAAACACAGATACACACACCTTGAGGCGGCAGTCCCTCTCCAGAGACAGCTGGTTCTGTCAGTCAACAACCACGCTGGAAGTGACAGGCCAGGAGAGAGAGAGAGAGTGTGTGTGAGAGAGAGAGACAGATGCTCAGAGTGTGCACCCGTCTTGGTGTTTTCTCTCCAGGTAAATTCATGATGCAGGTGCTGCCCCCCTGTGGTCACGCAGTGCAAGAAGACAAACCAGACAAAGTAAGACAACACGTCACATCTGTCCCAGAACAGTTACTGTGAATCTGAACTCTACATAACCACTGTATAGTAAGAAACTTCGGTGATGATTGATATTATGACCATTTCTAATTTTTTACCCAGTCTCTGCATCAGTAGAGTTTCATGCGCTCACATAAAGTCCTTGCTGTGTGTGTTTAGGTGGCTGAGGCTGTGGCCGCCTTCCTGCTGAGACACAAGTTTGCTGAAGCCAGAAGAGAAACCAAAAGGTTCAGCCGACAAAAACACAGTGAACTCACATCAAACACATCCCAGTGATTCATGCAGTCTGCCTCTCTGTAAACCAGGAGCCAGAATATCTTCTTTTGTTTTACCTTGTCATGTTATATTTTAATAAGCTACAGAGGCGAATTAACAGCCTCCAACTTTTCAACAAAACTTAAACTTGTATGTGAAACTCAGAAAAATGTTCTCCTGTCTCTGCAGCTCCAACCCCTTCACGCGATGAGGTCTGCACGTAAGACGTGTTTTAAGTTCTGTATGGCCCCACTTTAACTAACATTCAAAAAGTTTAGTTTCTCAAATGTGAATATTTTCTGATGTTTTATTATATTTATACAGTGCACTGAATATCTTTGGGTTTTGAACGGCTGAAAGAACAAGACGTCGTCTTGGAAATTGTGATGTGAAGGACAATCTGCTTTTATTTTACAGAGGAAAACAACTAAACCAAGGACATACATGAAAATTAAGATGCAGCTCTACTCTGCAGCTTATTATGTTTGAGGAAAACTGATGTAAAGGGGGAAAAAAAGCTGCCAAAAATACTGTTTCTAGTAATTTGTGGACAATATGATAACTTTCAGACAAACCTGTTTAAATAGAAATAATTAGTTTGCTTCTACCAGCCATTTAAAAACAAACAAACAGGTCTCCATGCTTGTTGGAATATACTGCAGGTTTTCACTTATTGAACACTTTCTTTATTTCTCTTTCTCTGTCAGATCAGCAGTAAGGAGCTAAAGATTCAGAGATGACCACTTCCGCATTTTCCCTGAACACCAGCACAAACCTCTGTTTCTTTCTTCCATCTTCAACATTAATCAGTAGCTGAAAAAGTGACTGTAAATCTAAAAGTGGCTATGAGCAATATGTGACTGAGTCCTGCTGTGTAGTTTGTTCTGCACCAAAATATTAAGATGAAGATTGAATATACCACATTACATCAAAGCAAACTCTTCTTTCCATTTGGTTTTGATGCTATATAAAACTATTATCTGATTTTTCTGCAGTGACTGCAATTCGGCTATTTAGAGCTAGCTAGCGAAAAAACCTTAGCTACAACTGATTTACACATTTTCTTTCCTGTTTCCCATTTTTAGAAAATCAATTTTGATTCTCTTGCATCTCAGTAACTGAGATTTTTTTTATGACATGAAAAATGTAATCACAATGGATCAAAAAGTAACACCAGATAAACCAGTCCTGCTAAGCGTTAACTAGCCTAGCTTAGCGGAGTAGCCGTAACTGCCCTCTCTGTAGCTTCAGACTTAGTGAAACCATTAAATCACATTTTAAATGTATTTAATTATCAATAAATGTATTAAAAGCAGCTGCCAATTTGTTCACCACTAACAACAGCCAGATGTTATTTTTTTTCTATTAGATGATGTTACAAATTAATTTTCATCTCCAGTGTCTGAGACATTACTGGATGTATGTGTTCATATACTGTGTGTAGCATTAGCATCAGAAAGAAAGTGTTTGTTGTTCAGTATAAATTCCACTGTCATTTATTGTTGTCTTCACTTTATCTTTGATATTTTCTTCGAAAACATTAGCACTTAGCATTATGTGCCACATTAAATTAACCCATTAAATATTAAATATTAATGGTTTATTTTCACCAGCAAAAACACAAATCGGTAAATTAAAATGTGCTGATTTAAAAACCAAGAATTATATCTCCCCATTCATTTTCAAAGATGACACACAAACACCAGGCTGGAATAAAAACAAAAACTTGCAATAAAATTTTATTTAAATTCTGTCCTGAATCAGAACACGTGCAACAACTGAAACACAGAAACAACATGGCATCACACCGCCTTGTATTTACACGTATGTATGTGGGTGTGTGTATTTTGTGTTGGCGTGCACAGGACAATCGCACAGACAGACGTTCTGAAAACAATTAATATTGTAGAAACACACACGACACCACATCACACCCTGTTGTCATGGCAGCCGAGGGGTTACCGTGGCTACAAACTCATCTGATCATCCTACAACTCTCGCCGTCTCTCTGGAAGGGTCTGAAAGTTTTGTCTTTCGTTCTGCTTTCCCTTTAATTTCTTTGATTCCTTCTTCTATAGCCGTGACTAAATGCTAACGCGATGACTAAAAATCCTTAAATTTAAATGTTCAACACTGACGCTGCTTTCAGAGTCAGATATTTAATCCCAATGGGATCACACGCCTCAGGAAAGCGATCAGAAACTACGACACAAAATTACAATATATGGCAAAAAAGCAGTCGGTTTACAAATATGTGATTTGTAGTTCAGTGGAAAAGCAGGGCTGATCCTTTTTTTAATACACAAAGGTCTCAGCACCTTCTCACAAAACATTTCCAACATAGAAATCTTGAGAGAAATAAAGCAGAAAGAGAAACAAAATAAAAAATGACAGTGAAGAGCGATAGAAATGACAGGGAGGGGGAGACAAGAAGACTTTATCAAGAACCTTCCAGAGAAACAGTATTAAAGTGCATCAACAAAAGGGGCTGAGCAACCAATCAAAAAACAGCCAATAGGGAGGGGAGGAGCACAAAGAACCAATCAGACGTCATTACTGGCAGTGACATGAGGGTCCCAACATTTGACAAGCTGATGTACAAAATCCATTTAAGGCGATTGCAAAAAGAGAATTATGACTTCATACGTGATAAATCTGAACATCTCGTACTTATGAGCTATTATGTCAGTTATATGAAGGAGAATCCGTAATCTATCTCAAACCTTTTAACAGCTGTATCTTGTAATAATGATGTATTAAGCCTTACATATCATGTGATCTTAATTACAAATATTGTAGGCCACAGTTACAATATTATAATGAAGCTAGGTAATTATGTAGTGCCTATCAAATTCACAAGATATGAAAGCCATACTTTAATAATTATGGAAGGTTTTCTTCGTGAATGCAAAGTTATCTGTCAAGTCTAAACTTGGTTGTCGCACTGATCCGATAAATTAGTGTCATGAACAATTTTCCAGCCTCGTGATGAAGAAATTAAATTACACATGTTCATATTTTCTGAGTTTTCTACTATCTTGATGGAAGAAATACTTAACTTGGCAAAGGTCTGTATTAATGGTGTATGAGTGGTATAAGGGCCGGGTATCATTCATTCAGTTTTTCGTTACAAAAACGAATCAATGCCTTTTTCTCACATTACAGAAAGAAGTCTAAACAAGATGGCGTACAGAAACAAAAGAGCGGCATGTTGGCAAAATTTTTAACGTCAATCAGAAACTATTGGATCAAAGAGTGAGAACACGAAATGATGAATCTAACCAGATGTTTTTGACACATTTCAGTTGGTAATAAAGCAGGATTTGAGGTTTGATACCCGGCCCTAAGGGACAGCAGCATGACACAGCAGCTTCAGTCTTTACTAATGAAACAACTGGATGCAGAGGAGGGTTGAGTGAAGTTCACTTTCACGTAAAAAAAAAAGAGTGCAAAAGTGAAAATAACATGAAATTCAACTGAATTAATTGAAAATAAAGCTTACGACACAAAAGATGTGACTTTAATTAAAACATTATTCACTGAAACTTGGCCAAGACAAGGCAAACAAATTCATCATCTTCATATATTACAGCAAAGAAGCTCTCCAGTATTTGACAGGTGTTTAATTAGTGTTTGTTATATACTTGGTAATTGACTGAACCTGAAACTGAACTGTGAGGAGGAAGGAAGCAAAGTAGGAAGACCCTTAAAAAAAAAAATACTAAAAGTCTTTCTGGTTTCTGACGGTCTGAGAGAAAATGAACTCGGCGTTTGGACTGGAAACACCAGCACGGTAACGACCGGGAACTGAACCGGTTTGATTTTGTGTTATATTGTTATTTATATATAGCGTTGAATAGTGGACGCAACACTTGTGTAACCGACTGTTGGAGTGGTATAGTGTTCTTTAAACTTATTCCTGCAATGAAACTCGTATCTTTTTTTTTTTTTAGACCAGTGAAAAAAAGCTTTTACACCAGACTTTGGAGGGCGGGAAAAAACAAAAAACATAATGAGCACAGAACTGGTCGTCCAGCTGGTGATCAGACTCAGTTCTCTCAGGTTTCGTCAGGCTACATCGACAGATCCCAAACGTTTACTGACAAACTTACGGGCGTATAGTTTCATATTACCAAGGTCCGTTACGTACTGTATGTATGTACAATTACACAAATAATCAACACTTAAATCTGTCTGATCAATAATCCCATTGAGTATCATCGGGCCATGGGTAATGAAGGGATGGGAAGGGAATCAGTCTTTGCTGCTGGGTGTCTTCATTACAAAAATAAACGTCTCCTCTGGTATCAAAATAGACGACAATCTTTATCTCTCTCTGTTTCAGGAAGCTCACGGCGCCGGCGACACCACGCCACAACCGAAAGCCTTACGCAGTCTGCACAGCAGTTTGGCAAACCGACAGCAACGCCACGTGACGTAGTGAAACTGTGGAATATACATTTTATATTTACACGTTTGGCTTTGAGCTGTTGCACACATCAGGAGTGAACGGTACTCACTAAAGCAGGGAGGGATTCTTCGCTAAGCTCTCGTCCGTCTACAGCTCTGAAACTTAACGTCTGTCACAGCTTGATTATGTGACGTCTATGTGATGGCAGCTACACCTACTGTAGTGTAGACCGCAGGGTTGAAGAGAGTGAAAGATCCAATCCTTGATTGTCGGGGGTTAAAGGTCAATGTGTTTTTAAAAAGGCAGCATGAGGCCATGCTAGGAGACACGTGTGGTCAGGCAGACGCACAGATGGATGGACAGAGAGACAACGAAACAAGGCAACACTATATTCAGGGTTCCTACGTGGCATTTGAACAGAGGACTGTCACAGGGAGTTCGGACAACGCTTACCGAACGTTACACCGCAGGAGAGACGGAAGACTGACGAGGAAAGTCTGTATCTTATAACCTAAGCCAGGCAGACACTATACAGGTTCAGCCCGAGTTGACCCGTGAACTGGTCCCGCCCAATTTAGAATCGGGCCAATGCTAGATGTGAGCGCTTTGGCAGTGTTTATGTCTGTGGACTTACTGTGTAACCGTGATAATCATCACTGTGCAAGGTGCAGTCATGAAACTCTACAGGTGTGGTCTGAGTCATGAGTGGTTATTACACGAGACGGAACGTCAACATCACGGCTGGTGTGAGATCTGCGTCTTTCATTCATAGCAGTTTTGCACAAAGTAACGCTGCGTTCGTCTCGGTTTGTCAACGTTGTTGAGGACGTGAACTTTCGTTTGAATATGAGAAAATAAATGAAATATTCAAACGAAAGTTCCAATTGTGAGTCCGTGCTTAGACTGAGTGTGAACTCGTCTTATAATGTGTATTATGAGTCAACAAGATACAGTGTCTGCCCGGCGTTACAGATGTTTTCTTTAACCATATACACAGACAAACTATCTAAAGAGGTGATGGTGCAGCTGAAAACTCTCCTCTATAGTGGCGCCATTTCTCTCGTGACCGTTTCCCTGAAAGGTTTGTACATTCTGAAAAACCAAGCTGTAGATCGTCAACGTTCCTCACACCTCGTCGTTTTCTGTACAGCCCTGGAAAGTGTCACCTGGTTTTCTCACGTTATAGGAACCCTGTTTGGAGCCACAGTCGAGGAAAGAAAGCGTCCAAACCGAATACTGTAAAGATAAAGAGGCCTAGAAATATACAGACAGGCAAAAAAGAGAGAGAGAGAAAAAATAAAATACTGTGTGTAGTTGCTGTTCAATACTGTAGCTGTAATACTGCCAGGATGAGTCCACTGTTAAAGCAAAACAAAAACAAAAAAAACAAAAGCTGAATCCACTGCTCAGAGTAGCTGGTGTGTCCTTTCAAAATAAGACTTCCTTCCAAAATGAGTCAGCCATCACACATCAAGAAACAGAGCCTGGCGCGTTGGCAGGCAAATCAAAATGAGCTAAATTAACCAAAAAGACCAAATCTTACAGGAAGCCAGCAGCCCCGAGAACTGCGTCATTGTCCGTTCAATGGTTGTGTAGTTGTTGTGCCGCTCCACCTGGAAGAACCAGGTGACTGAATACTCCGAGACGGGAGCACTCCTTACTGAAGAACAGGTAGAAATACGAAAGTCTAGATCTCTCCTGGATCTCTCATGCATTCATCAAGGTCCTCCAGATTAGCTGATGAAGAAGAATATTGAGCGTTTCCTCTTCTGGCAGCCGACTTTCTCAGGTCCCTGTTCACACGAGCACCGCGGTGAGTTTGATCAACCTCGTGTCTCTTGGGTTTTGTCAGGTCGTCTGTTTGAATCCCGTCTGCGCGCTGAAGGTCCTTCAAGTCAGGAGTCGATTTGTATTAAACTTTCCATCGCCAGGATTATTCACATCTAATTCTACACACAGCATGAACTGAGGCAGATGTGGGTTGATTCAGACATCTGCACGGACAGGTAAGACTGACTTTAATCCCAGTTTAACCTTGGAGAAACATCTGCTGAGGGTACGACCAAGGAACTGGACAACAACTGTGTTAGGTCCTGGATCGGACCTCACCGAGTGTCTGGGAAGAGACCAGAGATGGATCCAGACCAAGTCGGTGAGTTGTGTTTGAGTCCAGACACGTTTATTCAACTATGTAAAAACCCATCCCCTGGTTCTAGCTAGGCTCGAGTCCACCTATGGTCCAGACAAGTTGGTTCGGTTTAGCAAAGATTTGTTCAAAGAGGAAAAAACCCAGTCAGACCCTGGTGCTGGTTCTGTGTTTAGCTTCCACTTGGAACCAGTCTAAACCAGAACCAGGGCCTGGAGCTATCTCGGGTCGTACTTAGTCTAGTGCAGTCGGGTTTGGCTCAGATGTGATTTCAGGTTCACTGAAGTCTGGTTAAAAATCTGAACCTGATCGGAGTCTGTTTGGCCCGGTTCCTGGTTTGGTTCTGTTGTGCTCCTCTCAGGATTTGTCCCCCAGCTGAGACTGCTCCATAGACCCCTCCTCATCTGATAGACCTGTTTCCACGGCAATGACCAATGACGCCACCGAGGCGCTGCTCGCCATTGGCTGAAGCTCACCTGTAGGAGGAGGAGGGAAATCTGGGTTAGACTGAATCAAGATGAAGTGAATTGTACTGTTCCCAATAAATAAGTTAACACTCCGGCCCGGTTGGGTTCTGTTACAATGAGCCCGGATGCATTTGTCTGCTTGGTTTGGTTCCAAACTCAGAGCAAACAACTGGACCGAGAGCTAGAAAGGAGAGGTGTCCGTCCACAGGATCAGAGCGATGGTGAGAAGATCTGTAATTTAGTAATTAAATCCATCTGGTGATTCCATTGATGTTTGTGTATTTTAACGGCATTTCAAACTAGTTGAAGCTATAAATGCTGCTGTATGAGGCGATGGTTCATACAACAGCTGATAAAGGACATACTGAAAGTGTGAGTTGAGCATGTTGATCAATCAAAATGACTCATTCACTGAAAAACGAATATGTGATTCATTGTGAATCAGATGGTTTTAATTTTCTAGAAATTTTGTATTAAACTGAAAGAAAAAGAAAATCAGGGATTTCTGAATGTTGCATTAAATCAAACTTCTGTTCCTCCAAAGTTTCTCATTTCACCAGTAAAAATGTGCATCAGTTAAAAGAGAAGGTTTTTCTTGTTGATGTCTTTCAGCTGCTCCTGAACACTGAACATCTGCATAGTTGATTTGGCGAAGGTTTTTACGCCGGATGCCTCTGATGTACCTCTGATTGCTGTGTCGCAGAAACGCCACCGGGTGTCAGTATAACACCTCTGACTGAATAACGAGGACCCGGCCCTCTGAACACAGTGTGTGTGTTACCTGTGTGTGTGTCGGTGGTGGCCGTCACTGGGCTGTCTCTCAGGGTGTCGGGGTCCTGGTAGTCCTGCGGGAGTCCGACCCGCCGTACGCCGGGGTCCAGCACCACCGAGGAGCTGCCCTCGCTCAGCGTACCGTCACTGGAGGCCCCGGACACCACGGCCTCCAGAGCCAGGGCCCCGACTCCACCTACCCCGCCCACACCGACCCCACCCACGCCGCCCAGGGCCAGGTCGTAGTCCAGCGGCAGGTCGTCCAGGCAATCTGCATTCAGCTGGAATTGAGATGGAGGGAATACGACATGTTTGTAACGGTGGTTTGAAAGGTGAAATATAAATAGTTATTATATCAGTGCGTAGAAAAGAAACTGGGATTCTCCTGGAGAACACTGGTTTCTAGGTAACCTGTACAGGTAAACAGGTTTCTGATGGGATTTTTACATGTGAGCATGTGAATGACTGAAACTGACACTTTGGCCTCGGTGGGGCCACTTTCCTGGACTGGCCTCGGTCGTCACATGACCATGACATAGTCTACATTGTTTGAAAGCTCAAAGTCCCCTGGTTCTCCCTGGCTAGGGTTCACATGTCACTGCAGCAGCTGCTGACACAGGGCTGGTTCAGACATGTTTCTTCCAGAGGAGACCAGGGTTATGACTGTAATCACAAGCGTTGAAGACCTGTAACCTTTTTATTTTGGGTACATTATTTTCAGGGTGGTGTCTGGTAACGGGTTAAAAGCCCCTCTCCCATGATTCCTTTCACACTCACAGCGATGCCCAGGGCTTTCAGGATGTTCATCTTGCACATCGGACATGTGCGATGATCCAGCAGCCACGGATCCACACAGCTCTTGTGGAACAAATGTCTGCAAAGAAGAAAAACACAGTGGAATCAATTACCCTGCTGTTAGTCTGCGTTCACACTGAGGCGCTGGAGGAGAATCAAGTTCACAGCTGCTTTCGTTTGGTGCCGTTACACAAGGCACCAAAGAATCTGGATAAACACGCCTTTTATTTTTTTTTTCTATTTCATCTCATGAATCTCTAAATCTATAACAAGGTCGTCATGAGGTTACAGGAAAACAAACGGTCCAATTTGTCCCAAGTTCAACTCCACATAACAGCAAACAGCTTCCATCAAAGTCAATGTGGCATCACATGACGACAAAGGAAAAACAAGGCAACAACAAAGATCCTCTCTGCTCCTCTGTGTGCAACAGTTCCTGTAGCAGCGTTATCGAATCTTCAGGATTAGGTTTGAGTGTTTTACCTGAAATCTGCTGTATGTTTATTGGATCAGTCAGAAACCAGTCAGCCAATCAGGAGAGAGGTTCTCCTTTCTCAAGGTGTTTACCTGCAGGGCAGTATGCGCACCACGTCGTTGGCCTTGTAGCCCTCGATGCAGACGGCACAGTTGTCGAAGTCGGCCTCCGTCTCCTGGTCGCCCTTCCTGATGGTGCGAACCTGCAGCTTACTGATGGCCTTCTTCGCCGCGTCGCCAAGACGACGCTGGAGAAAAGAAGACAGAAGGCGGAGATGACGGACAGATTTAGTCCCGGCTGACAGAAACATAAATCCCCCGGTGCGCTGTGAGGTTCCTGAGATCAGTGATGTGTCTGTCTCCGCGGTTTCACCTCTTTATGAAACACGGCGAACAGCGACCGCGGTGTCACTTCAGATAAATGTGTTGACGTTATCTCAACAGAGCAGAGAACAAAACAAAATCAGCCTCCTCTGGGAGTCTTCAGCTTTCTCCTGCTCCTCATGAATCTGAATGAGACTCGGGCTTCACGACAACAGAGACGTGGATCTGCTCATTCATCCCCTCGTGTCGGTGGAAGCCACAGTCATTAATTATTATTCACAAACACGGTCTGAATAAAAGCACCTTCACTGTTTGTCATGGTAATTTCTCCCTTTGAGAGGAAGCTGCTTGTGTCTCTGAGGATCTGTTTACATTCACTGCTGCTGCTTCTGTTTCTGATGATCGATTAACGGGTTGCTCCAGTGAGGCCTGGTCTGCAGGGAGCCTGCAAACCGACGCACCGATGGAGAATGTGGTTTGTGTTTATTCGGACACAAAGTTCACAGGTTATTCAAGTCGAGGTGCACGTCTGTACGCCGAGACTGGTTCTTCGTGCTGTTAAAAGCGTGTGTACGAGTCTGAGGCTACGTTCACACTAGCACCTTTTCATTTTAAAATGCGGTGGAAACAGTATCTCCACGCTGCACTAAGACAGGCCTGATGAACTGAACATGGCCTTTAAGTAATTATCTGTAATTCAGTTTCCTCAGCTCTCTCACCGACCTCCTCGTTTCTGACCATGTTTCCAATTACATTCTTACTTCAGTCGTCAAATTATACTCAGGTGTTTTCTGATTTTCTTGCGTGTTGGAAACGTGAGCTTCCACTTTAACATTGGATTTTTATGTCTGAAAGGCATAAATACACTAAGGTGGCAGTTTATTAGGAACACTTAAACTGATGCAGTCCTGTGATGAATCCTATAATGTTCGGTTTGTGTTGATTCGACCTCGCGGTCTTTGTGGAGGCGGCGTCACGTACCTGGTTCCGGTCTCGAGCGTTGGCGTATCTGAACCTCTGGATGTAGTAGAAGACGAGCCAGGCGAGGGAGATGATCATCAGCACGATGAAGGAGATGGAGACGAACACCACCGACGTCCTGCTGACGTACTTCTGCAGGTTCCTCGTCCCGATGGTGATCGTCATGGTGACCGTCACGTTGCGCTCCAGCAGCGACACGACCTCGCGGCCTTTCGGCTCCGGGATCATGATGGCGATCACCTCACCTGTACCTGAAGAGGGCGGAGCGCACCGTTAGATCGTCTGACGGGTAAATGCAAGAACAAGAGAAGAAGACTTGAACATGTTGCATCTTATTTTTAACTTGTTTTGACTACAGGTTGGGAACCACTGACTCTCTTTACTCCTTTTAACCGTGCACTGTGTTCTCCACAACCCCCCCCCCCCCCCCCGTCACTATGACAACCAGCTCCTCGCCCACCCACGGGGGAGAACCACTAAAAATACACCGTTAACCCCGAGAGAGGTCAAACATTCACGTATGAGGAAGTATTTGTGGAAGATCTGGTCAGTTCCTGGAGTCATGGCTAGAGAAGACGAGCTGCTGAACGTGATGAATGAAGACAAAAGAAGAAGAAGATTCAGTGTCTTTGAGAGAGAGACAGAGACGGACGCTGAAGGTCGGGTCTGCAGCTGGTAACACTTCAGCGTCTTGCTCAAAGACACCTCAGACAGAGAGCCGTACCCCCCCCCCCCCCCGACCTTCAACAGCTGCTTTAACAGACGAAACACAAACACACACTGTCTCTGTGAAGACGAACACAAGCCCTTCAGCCCTGCGTGTGTGTGTGTGTGTGTGTGTGTGTGTGTTACTTCCAGGCTGTTTTGATTCAAGCTTAGCAATTTGAGAATTTGAGGTTATCCTTGTGACTGCGGCCTGACTCAGTACAAACACCGCCTCATATGACCCTGAAGGTGCAGAGGAAAAACCTCCAGAGAAGCAGCTGCAGTTACAAAAGTTCAAAAGTTTCATTCTCATTTCAAATATTTAACAAAGAAAAAAGGTTTTTGATAAAGTGCCGAACTGAAGCTGTGACTTGAACCAGATTAAACTCCTTCATCGGTTACAAATGGATCCCAGAGCGGTCGGGAATGTGTCGCCATGTCGACACAAGTTTACAACAAATTAGTCACACGTGCAGAGAGACGCCTTCACCGACAGGGTGGTGATTAACTACAGGAACTAACAGAGAGTGAAGCGAACAGACCAAGCTTCTTGTTTTCATTAAATAATAGTTAATATAGAGAAAATTCACTTTTATGTTTAGGATTAATGAAACAACGTTTCTAGGCTACAGTCGTTTCTTATGATGGTGAAAATGTTAACGTTCACTCCGTCTGTTCTTCATGACGACCCCTGGGACGCCATATCTCCTTTCCTTTGGTGAAGGAAGCTCCAGTGTTTCCTATGCTGAAGGAGATAAGATGGGAAGCTCTGGTCATCATGGCAGCTGCTCAGTTTGAACCTTCATAAGAGAAAAAGACTTTTGGACGCAGCCCGGGTTGTGATTGGTCAGTTGGTCGCAGGAAACAAAAGGAAAGTCCACAGGAAGTGGATTAAACTGTTAACGGAGCGTCTTGGTTCATTTAGTATTAAATAATAAACAGGACTTAGATGGAGGAATTTCCCTTTAAAATACAAAACTGTTTGCTGGTGGTGCACAGGACTGAACCACACCCTCGTCTTTGAATCCAGCGCTACACTAACGACGTGTGTGTGTGTGTTTGTGTGTTTAGACCTGATGCTTTTACTCTTTGTTGCTTTAATGGTTGAAATGACAAATAAACCCTGAAGAGGAGACGCTCTGTGTGTGTGTGTGTGTGTGTGTTGTTGGATGAATTCCCCTGAGGCCAGCACTGAACTCCTTTCAAACCCCGACAACACACACACACACACACAAACACAAACAAAATCGATTAGTCTCCACCTAAAAATAATCCCCTGGGATCGATGTGTCTCTCACACACAATCATTCGTCCTTCTATAGCTGTGAGGACCCACCATGAAACGACACACTCCCGATCCTTTCACCTGAACCCAACAGATGATAAAGCCAGCTGATTCCACACACACGGATTAACACTCTCAGCAGCCTCGCCCTGACACGGACTCTCGGCCCGTCTAGTTATTTCTTCTTCAGACTGAGGATGAATGTGTCTGACTTTAGAGAACGGGGTGGGACAGAGACCAAACCAGCTCGTTGTTATCAGCAGCTCTGAACTAATCTGTGGGATGAGCAGAGGAATGATAAAGCCAGCTGATTCCACACACACGGATTAACACTCTTTCACAGCTGAAAAGCCTGACTGGACGTCAGAGACCGGACAGGAGACAGAACTGGGAACACGTCCTGAAAATGGTCCAACGGCTTCAAGCGACGTTCTAGTTCTACATCTGCAGCAGAGTGAAAATACAGCTTCAAATTCACAGTCCAAATCCCCAAATCCAGTCCAGCATCATAAAGGACAAAGAGGCAATAAAACGATAAATCAATTATCATTCACCGCTCATCGTTAATCAATGAATCAGGGAATCATTTAAAGTGTGGCTGAGCTTCACAAACAGCAGCAGTGACACAGAGAAACACGCTCACTGAGCCGAGCCGTAACTCTGCAGTTATATAACAGTAGATGTCCCAGTCAAGTGAGGCTGAAGCTGACAGTCACTCTCACTGTCAAATGAACTGCAGTTGGTTTTCTTAATGAAATTTTGTCTAAAAATGTCAGAAAATAGTTTTATATTATAATCAATAATCAGAGGAGAAATAAAGGAAATCCTTTCTTTACTGTGTTTCTACTGCGTCCACCTCAACCTGCTGCTGAACATGTGAGTGACTGATAGTTAACCAATCCTTTCTCTCATTAGCACAGAGCAAAACATTCAGTGGATGTAAAGGGGGAAAAGTTGATGATTCACATTAATAATAATTATTATAATAAAGTTTATTTATAGAGCTGTTTTTATACAAGAGATGTCGCTCAAAGTGCTTCACAAGAAAAAATGAAATACAATAAAATGATGACCAATGATGTTATTAATGTGATTAGAGTTCTCAGGTTCCTTAAGGTGTTTGAAAGGATTCAGATCCAGTAAACTGTCACTGAGCCCACGCAGTCTGGTTCAATTTAAAAGACCTGCCTCCACTCGGCATTGTGGGTAACATGGGGTCTCTGCAGCAGAGAAAATGAGAAAATAATCAGGAAAACCTGAATCCGGATCAGACTGAATTAAATCTAAACAACACAGAAGCCCAGAGCTGAGACCGAGTCCGGAGGCAAAGTGCTGGATGGACGGTGGACTTCTGAACCCAGCGCTGACGCTGTGTCTGGGGGAAATGACTTAATGTACACATGAGTGTCCAATGACTGATTCCCACAGAGTTCATTGGAGACGGGGGGTGGGGTGGGGGGGGGCTGCCAGATCCACTTCTATATAATATGAAGTCCAGCTCCTGTCAGAAACTGACCCTGACCCCGAGAACTGTCATGAGAAAGTCGATTTAGAGTAAACACTGGCTGTTTGTATTTCCCTGCATTTACTGACTCCCAAACTGGGGTCCAGGGTCCAGCGACCTCCGGGATCCCTAAACTGGTTTCCAGCTGTCAGAGAAACATCTGTGAGTCCGTTACCTCCCTCAGCAGCACTGACAGAGGGAATAAAAACAACAGTTTAGACAGGAGGACCTCACTTCTCCCTCTGCTACGACTGCACAGTCTGTTATGTAACTCAACACTCATCACATGGAGTTTCTCTGCTTCTAAGTGAATCAGACGAGCGTGTTTTCTATAATGAGTCGAGGTGGATGCAGCAGGTCTGGGAGTCGCTGCTCCACGTCGCAGACTGTGTGTGACAGACACCAACAACTCGTCTAACGCACGAATAAATTAAATGAAAATCTGATGCTGTTACGTCACAGCAGCAGCGGCAGAGCCACAGACCTTCAGTCAGCACTCTGTCTGCTGGCTCCTGGAACAGGTCTGAAAACCAGTTCAGACAGACTGGGACCCAGTTCAGACCATTATTTCCATTATGGATTAGTCTGCTGATCATTTTCTTAACCAATCAACTGGTCTATAAAAGGCCAAAGTGACAAGAACGCAGCTAATTTATTTTCGATTGCCTTGGGTTTTCAGGAGAAATCTTTGTTAGCTTCCTATCTCTCCTTCACACCATCTTCTTTATTCACTTCAAATACATTTAAAAATATGACCAATACACAGGATTTAAGTTTAATTTATCAGCTGTAATTGAGGCAGATTCACCTCAATGTCACTAAGAGAATCAGAGTAAAATCAGTCAACTGACTGAAGTTGAACATTTACCAGTTTCTGCTTTTTGTAAATGAGACTTTTGATATTTGGGCTCTGGTGAATTGTGATGAGCATTTTTCACTATTTCCTGACAGATAATTGAGCAAACTGTTAATAAGATGAACTGAAACAGAAGATAATCATTAGCTGCAGCAGTGGATGAAAACCAAATGTATTATGCTGACTGCAGCCAATGTAAATTTTTGCTGTTTAGTCTTTAAAATGTCTGTAAAAGTGTAAATTCTCTCTTCAAATGTCTTGTTTTGTTCAACAGTGTCTTTGCTCTCTCTTATTCAATGATTGAAAGTTGCCAATTATTAATTATTTGTGGATCAGTTAATGACTAATTATTGCACCTTTAAATTTGTGGATAGCTGGTTGGGTTTATACACAAAGAACTGCAATACTAATTTGAAGGAATGTGTGTTACTGTGAAAACAGGAAATTATGTTGATCAATTATTCTCCACCTGCACACCTGAACTTATCCATATGATATCCATACCCACAATAATCAGGATTTCACATTGCAGAGTTGAATAATATGAACATGAGTTCCACTGATCTGTTAAAGTGCGCATTTAAATAAGGAACCCCATCATACCTGGATGGGGCATCGTGATGGTGTCGTTAGCATTGGTGGACCCCACGTTAAAGATGACCACGGCCGAGGCGTTGTGGTTTGCTGCGTGGCGGATCTTGTCCTTGTAGGTGCAGTTGCCCCGGGCTATCAGCGCTACCCAGGCCCCGGCCTGTGCGGGCACCGCGAACCGGGTGCTGGGGTCGCAGGCCTGGCGATCGTGCGGGGCTGCGGGCAGGACCACCACCCCCTTGGCGTCCCGCTTCGGCGAGTGCTCCCCGTAGCGACCGCACTCCGTCTTCTCGGTGCGGAGCTCCGAGGTGGCCGGGTCCACGTAGGTGATGTTGACGAAGGCGGTGTACCACTCCTCCCGCTCGGCCACGGTGAAGTCCAGGCACAGCAGGTGGACGAAGCAGAAGGAGAGCAGCCACGTAGAGAGGGCCAAGCTGCGGCAGGCCGCCACCAGCGAGCCCGGGGCCATGGTGATCCTCCGCGGTGAGAGCGAGCCGCCCGTCGGTCGATCGGTCGGAGGAGCCCGATAGCGTTAAAACTGGAGATGCCTACTCCACCATGCTAACCAGACCACCGACCTGGTTATTCAATCCGCCTTTCTAATAAATTTCAACTCCCGCCCCGTTTTCGCCCTCCCTCGTTTTGTTTTTATCTTTTCTTCGTGTTTTCAGCCGCTCCCCTCCGCCGTGCTCCGGACACCTCGCAGCAGACGCCCGTTAGCCGCCTCCATTTCCAGCCGTCACCGAGAACAAAACAAAAACACCCACGGGAGAAGCATAAACAGAGAAACGGCTCCGGGCAAAACGGACCGCGGGGACGACGCAACTGAACCGTAAATAAGTGAAACACCAGGCGGTGATTTTCACAGCATTTCAAGGTTTACGGTTAATAACTGTAAGTATAAACGGCTAGCTGAACGCTGCAGGCCCGTTAAGCTGCATTGTTTTGACTGGGCCCGAGTGTCCACAGGCGCTGACGGTAAACAACACGTCCGGTGTTGTCTCTTCAAAATAAAAGCCAGAAAAAGAAAATCAAGATTAACCGATAAAGTGATTAGTTAATTGCATCCCTATACAACTGCTGTATCTATCTATACTATGGAATCACCCATCGTTCATAATCACCACTGCGTACTTTTTTTTTTTTTTAATAAAATGTTGTTTCAGATTCCACTAGACCAAATTTAGTATATGAGCAACTATTGTTTTATTTTGAAGGGCAAAACATCTGATTTCCGTTCTGAATTTATCTAACTCGGTCTGACATGACGCAGCTCTGTTTGCAGTGATACTGAGCAGCGCCACCCAGCGGCCCGGCTAAAAAACGCTGCTCTAAATCAACGATGATACAAGACTTTATAATTAAGTAAAATTAGCAGTGTACTTAAAATATTCACTGTTAAACTATTATATCATCGTTATTTTGCTTTATGTAAAGTTGGGTTATTTTTTACATATAATCTTAATTTGATCGTTGACTACCAGATTAATGCAGTGAAGTAAAATGCACATTATTTCCCTCTGAATATGGTGGAGTAGACGTATTGTATAAAGTATTAGAAAATGGAAATACTTCAAAATTTTCTTAAATTCAGTCTGGCAAACATTTTTGTTGGGTCATCTGCTATGACAATAACTTTATTGTAATTTGATTAATTACAAATTTGTTTGGTAAAATGCAGCAATAAAGCACAATAAAAAACTAAAATTATGAGGGCTAAAGGCGGCTCCTGCAATCTGTATAAAATCTTGAGGTCTTGTAGAGGAACAATGTGTCAAAATCTAGACTTAATACCTTTAAAATGTGCTAAAATAACTATAAAATATGAGATTTTAATACTTCCATGGTGTATATTCTTGAACAAATGTCTTTAATTAGAAATCATTACAGTTGTCTTGGTTTCTGGGGACAAATTAGGAGTATTGGGGCCTCATCTGATTTTTGTTTTTGCCCCCCTGAAGGTTTAATCCAGCCCTGTATCACTGAGTACATTCACCCATTGGATTTAATTAATTAATATTTGACAGAAAAGAATCAAGTATTAATTTATTGCAGAAACATGTTTGTAAATCAAACACCTGCAGCCCCAGTGAACAGTACAGAGGGTCATTAAAATAAAATTTACATTCATACATAACACGACATACACTTTACATGATAAAACAGTCTTATGATAAAACAAGCTGTACAGGAACCAACAAAACTGTCAGTGTGTCTATCCATAGCTGCCGTCTGGAGGTCTGTACAGTTTGGGGAAGGTGAGGAGCTGGACGCTG